TTCTGGGCCGCACGCGCGCTACACTGAAGGAATCAGCGTGTCCTCCCTGGCCGAGTGGCCCGGGTAACCCGCTGAACCTCCTTCGTGCTAGGGATTGGGGCTTGCAATTATTCCCCATGAACGAGGAATTCCCAGTAAGCGCGAGTCATAAGCTCGCGTTGATTACGTCCCTGCCCTTTGTACACACCGCCCGTCGCTACTACCGATTGAATGATTTAGTGAGGTCTTCGGACTGGTACGCGGTGGGGCGTTTCGGCGTCGTCGATGTTGCCGGAAAGATGACCAAACTTGATCATTAGAGGAAGTAAAGTCGTAACAAGGTTTCCGTAGGGAACCTGCGGAAGGATCTTACAGTGCTTTAATTTTTGTCTTTGACAAAAAAAGTCTTTCGTATAATGAGTAATATATTTCAACACGATACTTTACTCTTATACACTTTACTATTCATTGAACGAATTTGCCTTTTTATATAGGCGATGATGTAGCGACGTTCGAAAAGATAATAAGGAACATTTATAGTAAGATCGAGCGCACACGTGTATATTACCCGAACGAGGTGTTGTTGTTTGTGTGTAACACACAACCTCTTCCCTCGTCTCGTCGTGTACGCGAGTGCGTATCTTTTTATAAATCTTATTGAAAATCTTTTCGTCGTCCCACCATCATATAATACGTATAATTTTCGAACGCACCACGCCGTATAGAGCGCTTCTAGTACGCGCGAGCGCGCGCTCGGGGTACGTTCCGACACGCGTATATCGCATAGACATAATATTGTGTTGTATGCGTATGCGTATGTACACACGTGTCTCTACGACGTCGTCGTCTGTACGGATGGCGATATTTTCGACGGGTAACTCTATATGGGAGAAGAACGGAGATATGTCGTCGTGTCCGCACGACTCATTTCCTTCTTTTCCGGTTGTTTTTAAAGATATTCGCCCGTTAGTCGAAATTTCTACGCCATACGAAAAGACGGTACAAGAGGACGACACGTGTTGTACGCTTAATACATACATATATATCATGTTATGTACAACTCTGTTGTAGTGTTATTTGTACCCTTGCACACGCGTATGCTATAGAAGCGCGATAACGGATAGAATGCGCGCGTACACGAGAGACTTCGTCGGCACGCTCGTTTGTTATAAACGCGCAAAAATAATTTTGCGCGTTTGCCGCGCAAAATACACGAAGTCTCCGTGAGAAATGCGCGCTTTCTTTTTTTTATATATTTTCTTTTAATAACATTAGCCATTATCATAACAATAAAGACGTATCGATATATATTTTATATATATAGAGATCGTCTAATTAAAAAACGATTACCCTGAACGGTGAATCACTTGGCTCGTGGGTCGATGAAGAACGCAGCTAATTGCGCGTCAACTTGTGAACTGCAGGACACATGAACATCGACATTTCGAACGCCACATTGCGGTCCTCGGATACTGTTCCCGGACCACTCCTGGCTGAGGGTCGTATCAATTTAAAAGACTGCTCGGTTTCCTCTCCCGATCTCTGTTCGCGTCGTCGTATTATCTCTTTATCCGAGAGACGACGACGACGACGACGACATGAGAGAGGAGAATGAAACGTCGGAGCGTGTTGGATGTAGACGCGGCGGTACGACGCGACGACGCTAGTTATTATATATTTATTTATGTAATATCGTAAACGTCGTCGTCTTTGTCGTCGTCGCGGCATCTCAAAACGCGAAAGCGACGATTCGTTCGTCATACGAACGAATCGTAAACTCACACATAGAACGAACACGCGCGCTGTACGGATAAAAATCGTAATAGCACTACATATATATATATATATATATATATGTATATATGCTGTAGTCGTTACGCGTTTCGAACTTGCGCTGCGATCGTCGTGTCCGAGAGAGAGAAATTATTTTTTTCGAGATAACGACGTCTGATCGCATATACGCGCTAAACACCTAGAGAACGCTTTCGACTAGTAGTAGTATAGCAGCAGCAGCTATACGATTTAGTATTAGCGATCGCGTGTGACTATATATCTGTGTGTGGTGTTGTGTTGTATATGTTAACCGACCCTCAGAGCAGGTGAGACTACCCGCTGAATTTAAGCATATTACTAAGCGGAGGAAAAGAAACTAACTAGGATTCCCTCAGTAGCTGCGAGCGAACAGGGAAAGCCCAGCACCGAATCCCGCGGTCGATATCGGGCGCCGGGAATGTGGTGTTAGGGAGGATCCGTTTATCCCGAGGTCGCGCGGCGAGTCCAAGTCCTTCTTGAACGGGGCCACAGCCATAGAGGGTGCCAGGCCCGTAGTGGCCGCTGCCGATCGCGGGAGGATCTCTCCTCAGAGTCGGGTTGCTTGAGAGTGCAGCCCTAAGTGGGTGGTAAACTCCATCTAAGGCTAAATATGACCACGAGACCGATAGCGAACACGTACCGTGAGGAAAGTTGAAAAGCACTTGAAGAGAGAGTTCAAGAGTACGTGAAACCGTTCAGGGGTAAACCTGAGAAACCCGAAAGGTCGAAAGGGGAAATTCATTCGCGTTTCGGCCGTCGGCGATGAGCGGTCGCGCGACGGACGGCGTTCGCGCGTCGTCCGCGCCTTTCGCTTTTCGATCCGGCGTCGAACGCGTGCACTTTTTCCCCTAGTAGGACGTCGCGATCCGTTGGGTGTCGGTCTACGGCTCGCGGTGGAGTCCGTGTACGATCGTTTCGGCGATTCGTGCTCGAACCCGCGATGTTCGGCCGACTCGCTCGACGGTATACAGATGGCGCGAGGCCGCTACTTCTTCAATTAGCGTCCGACCCACGACAAGCAACGTTCGATGCTAAGACGGCGATCGGACTCCTAGCGCCCGGTTCCGTCCCCGGACGACTGTTGGTCGTGCGGATTTCTCGGACAGACCTCGTTTGAAACGCCGATCTGCGACGCTATAGCTTTGGGTAATTTCAGGACCCGTCTTGAACACGGACCAAGGAGTCTAGCATGTGCGCGAGTCATTGGGACATAACTAAACTAAAGGCGCAATGAAAGTAAAAGATCCGCCTAGCGCGGATTTAGGGAAGATGGGCGGCACGTCTATAAAGCGGCCGCTCCGCACTCCCGGGCGTCTCGTTCTCATTACGAGAAGAGGCGCACCAAGAGCGTACACGCTGGGACCCGAAAGATGGTGAACTATGCCTGGTCAGGACGAAGTCAGGGGAAACCCTGATGGAGGTCCGTAGCGATTCTGACGTGCAAATCGATCGTCGGAACTGGGTATAGGGGCGAAAGACTAATCGAACCATCTAGTAGCTGGTTCCCTCCGAAGTTTCCCTCAGGATAGCTGGCGCTCGTCTGTGACGAGTTTCATCCGGTAAAGCGAATGATTAGAGGCATTGGGGTCGAAACGACCTCAACCTATTCTCAAACTTTAAATGGGTGAGATCTCCGGCTTGCTCGAACTAATGAAGCTGCGAGAATCGAATCAGAGTGCCAAGTGGGCCATTTTTGGTAAGCAGAACTGGCGCTGTGGGATGAACCAAACGTCGAGTTAAAGCGCCTAAATCGACGCTTATGGGATACCATGAAAGGCGTTGGTAACTTAAGACAGCAGGACGGTGGCCATGGAAGTCGGAATCCGCCAAGGAGTGTGTAACAACTCACCTGCCGAAGTTACTAGCCCTGAAAATGGATGGCGCTGAAGCGTCGTGCTTATACTCGGCCGTCAGCGGCATGTGCGGTCTCGATCCGCGTAAAAACGGATCGGCCATGAAGCTCTGACGAGTAGGAGGGTCGCGGCGGTGCGCGCAGAAGGGCTGGCCGTGAGGCCGTCTGGAGCCGCCGTCGGTGCAGATCTTGGTGGTAGTAGCAAATACTCCAGCGAGGCCCTGGAGGACTGACGTGGAGAAGGGTTTCGTGTGAACAGCCGTTGCACACGAGTCAGTCGATCCTAAGCCCTAGGCGAAAGCCGATGTTGATGTGGCGTGTTTTATAAATATATGTATGTATGTGTGTATATATAAAGAACACGCCCGTCGGGCGAAAGGGAATTCGGTTCCTATTCCGAAACCCGGCAGCGGAACCGTACAATAGTCGGGCCCTCGCAAGAGAGTTCGTCGGGGTAACCCAAAAAGACCGAAGACGCCGTCGGGAGACCAGGGAAAGAGTTTTCTTTTCTGCATAAGCATTCGAGTTCCATGGAATCCTCTAGCAGGGAGATATGGTTTGGAATGCGAAGAGCACCGCAGTTGCAGCGGTGTCCTGGTCTTCCCCTCGGACCTTGAAAATTCGGGAGAGGGCCACGTGGAGGTGTCGCGCCGGTTCGTACCCATATCCGCAGCAGGTCTCCAAGGTGAAGAGCCTCTAGTCGATAGAATAATGTAGGTAAGGGAAGTCGGCAAATTGGATCCGTAAACTTCGGGATAAGGATTGGCTCTGAGGATCGGGGCGTGTCGGGCTTGGCGAGGAAGCGGGTCGCGGCTGACGTGCCGGGCCTGGGCGAGGTGAAACGTTCTGTCGTATGCGTTCGCGCGTGTGCGGTAGGATTGCGGATCCGAACTCGGTACCGTGCCTTGGCCTCCCGCGGAACCGTCTTGCTGCGAGGCCCAGAGTGCGCTCGCAAGGGCGTTCTGGTGTCCTCTTCGGCCGCCATTCAACGGTCAGCTCAGAACTGGCACGGACCGGGGGAATCCGACTGTCTAATTAAAACAAAGCATTGAGATGGCCCCTGCGGGTGTTGACTCAATGTGATTTCTGCCCAGTGCTCTGAATGTCAACGTGAAGAAATTCAAGCAAGCGCGGGTAAACGGCGGGAGTAACTATGACTCTCGAGTCTTGAGCAAGGAAGCATTTACGCAGACCATTTTTTACAAGTACCAGCTGTGTTGTAGGCTGCGCTAACGTCTTTTTCAAGATTGTTAGCGTTTCTTGGTGACATCGGTTTGTGTATTTGTGGAGCTTAAGACTCACCCGGGAAGGTTCCGGATTTCCTCCAAATCCAACCGAGAGTCGGGCCCGTGTCATTATGTCACGGTGGCTAATTCCCGGATCGAACGCACGCACCGCGCCCTACAAGAACAGTGGCGCGAGATCGACCAAGGCGCCGGTTCTCGGCGCCGGTCTTACTAACAACGGGCCAGATTTACAACTGGCCCAACCCGCATCGAGCAAACGCGGGAGTGAGGACAAGGGGAGGACAGACATATCAAAGGCTAAGCCCGTCAGCGGCGCCAAGAAATGCAATACTGGCGCCAAGTCCTCCCCAAACTATTGCACGACGTGTGACACAGCTTTTACGTCGGCAGTGCAGCTAAGAACGCACAAGATGGCAAGAGCATGCGAAGACAGGCTCCAATGTAGGCACTGTCCAATGAGATTTGGCAGTTACAAGTCCACCCGACAGCACGAGCGGAGGGCACACCCGGTGGAATACGCCGGTGAGATCGAGAAGATGCGCGGTCCTCTGCCAGAACCAGAGATCTTGCAGATCATGGCGAGGATCGAAGCCCGTGAACCAGCCGGGCGAGTTAATAAGTGCATGGCTGAAGCCACAGATCTCACCGTTGACCAGGTGCGGTTCAGGAGGAGGAAGCCCGAGTATCAGAGATATCTCGAGCTCGCCCGGAAGCAATTCCGGGCCTCTGGTACTCGGATTTTACCAGCAAAATCTTCTTCCCCCGCCGCATCTACTAGCGGATCCTCCGTGGTGTGCCAGACGCCCGTGCCCGAGGGAAAGGACAAACTTAAACAACCAGCCTCCTGCGAAAACGAGCCTCTTTCGCAGGACATGGAGTCTCCTCTGCTTCAGAAGGTATCAGCAAGGCAGAAGCGGATGAGGGAGAGTTGCTCACCGCACGACCTCAACCCGCCAAGAGGAAGACGGCTGGAGTAGGGACAGATGTAGGCAGGAATACGAGCTCTATTAATACTAGCTCTAAGGCCACCGGTTCCAACGGTGCGCCAAAAAATGCCCGAGATGGCAAGAGGAAGAGGAGAGAGAGCGACTCTCCAATTCAATCGAAAATCGTTCAACCCAGAACTGTGGTCGCTAGTCCTAGCGACCAACTTGGCATGGAACCTGCGCGTTCTAAAGTACCCGTATCGCTGCATGAGAACGCAGCTCACCATTCCGGGTCTGGTAACCTCTCCGGTCGTAATACGACCGCGGCTCCCCATGCTCCTGAGGCAGAGCTGCCTCCGTTGCCGCTGAGAGATCTCGCACCAAAGGTGAACATAAACTCTACTTTTGTAGAGTACCTGCGAGATGCTCGAAGCGGATTCAATCTTC